ATTTTAAAATCTTCACGTCAATCTTGATCTTTGTTTTTTCAGGGGTAATCGTTGCGTCTTCGATTTGTTAAAAGTACCAATAGAGAGTGTCATGATCACTTCTTACATTAAATTAACTGTTGGTAGCTTTCTGTGGTTCTTATGCAACCATTGGCCAGTCGTGTGTGGATGTACTTACACATCACTTTTGGTGGTGTACGTTCCATACAACAGCGCTTCATAAGCAGTCCATTTGACTGGAAGACGGCCCTAAAGATTGAAATAGTTCGTAAACAATTAAATTTCAATGTAAACTAGGAACACATTTCCAGCAGAACCTTGTCAAGGCATAGACTTGAACAAGAAAAGAAATTGCCGCCTGTCTGCGTCTTTAATGATTTTTTCTGGCTGGTAAGTTTTTGTACTGTGACGGCAGAATTAGTCACTCGTCTAGTAGCTACAAGCTATAATGAGGAAAGATCAAGGTAAGAAAGGTACATGTACCTCGAGCTTCTCTTTCCTACAACCAAATTTGTCGACTTAGAAAGAGTGCGATCCACCCTAAGCTTGGAAAAAATCTTTAGGCAACTTGCGCATTTTTAGGTTCCGTCTGTTTTTGCAATGTAGTGAGAAAAAGAAGGAAATACAGTGTTACGAGTATCGTTGTAAAGCGGGGTTGTTTCCAAACAGAACTCAGGATCGCTGGTAACAGCAACAAACTAATTTATTTCGTAACTCCTCGAATTTAAAATACTAAGCTTCTTCAAATTTGAATCAATCTCTCTTTCAGAAGAAACTCTCGCTCTAATATACATGAGTCTTAAAGTTCTAGAAACTTCTATTTGGAACTAAATTAAGTGGTTTGACACAGTTTCTAATCTGAGTAGTGACATAAAGGATTAGAATGTTCTGGAATGTTCTTATACAAATTGGTCACGGCTGAATGACTTCCGGTTCTAGATTATTCTAGAACTTGACTTAGACAATTTTTCGTAACATACCGACTCCTTGCAGATTCGGAGGCGGAACGATGGTCTTCATCAGCTAAAAAGGTGAGTGCCTGCACCATTTGGTACCAAATTTGACCAGTTATCTCACTCTTGTAACAAGATACAGTCGCAATAAATGTGAAGGTAATCTTGACAAGAGACCCGATCTCACCTGAGCTTTTGGGCCAATAATTATGAAGCTAGCACACGATTCGCGAGGAATTTACGACATTTAGAATATTGGAGTGTTGACTGGGCTTTTAAAAAAAGAAATAGCAAACCGTGAAGTCATGCACAGCAAGTGTGAAATCGTGGAGCCATAGCCAGCTGGTCGGGTAGCAACTCTCGTAAGGTCTATCATAAATGGCTTGATACCCTTTGAGAAGACAATAGGACAAAACAACAGAAACAATTCGGTTCTTAGGGTTGTTACCTTTGTCTTTTTTTCATAAATGTTGTCCTGCTGA